TTTTTTTTTTTTTTTTTGGAGAACGGGCGAAAATCCGTGCGCGCGCAGGATGTCATCCATAAAATTAAAAAAGTGTGGCCTAACGTGGACACTAAGAATATATAACTACCATAAGGCTTCATGCCAGTGGGAGTTCAAAGTCCAACATTTTTGCAAAAAAAAAAAAAAATGCATTTCTTCCAGAAATATAATGAAATTATAAATATATGGTTTTCCAACGTACTCAAGCTGTACTTCAGTTCTATGAAACTTTTCTGTATGTTTGAGAATCATAAGTAACAAAGTTTTCCTTTGTTGGACATTGTAGCATCGGTGCCCAAAACATGGTTTTCTTCGACTTTGATACAATATCATATAATGTTTACTTTCTTACTTACACCCCCTTTACACTAGACGGCGTCCTTTCTGCGTCCTTTGTGCGACCATGAAACTGGCATCGCCGTGGTTGTAGAATCAATACTCATTGATCTGCAAGTTGTTGGGAAGTTAAGTTTTTTTTTACTCTCGAACAGGGCCGTACTACGTACGGGACGCAGAAAGGACGCCGTCTAGTGTAAAAGGGGTTTTACTTACTTTCTCCTTACTTGCTATTTTTTTCCACCTTATGTTGGCCACCAGCGTGGGTTGGTCTATATATATATAGTATCCTAGCAAGGAAGTTATCCAGTTTTGTCTGGAAATGTTCCACTGTACACAATGTGTCCCTGTACACCAGGCACGGTGTGTCTGTACATAAAAAGCAATGTAATATCATGCTGTTTGGGGTCGTAAGCAGCTTAGTTTATGCTTTCCCTACTTTTTACTTACTGTATTTTTTGTATATTATGCCATTAATCTTTTAACATACTAGTATTAAACTTCATTATTTTTTTAAAATTATTATTATTATTATTTATTATTATTCGTATTGTTATTTCACTTTTAAGAACTTTAAGAGTCCAATTTCGGAAATTATATATTTGTGGTAGCTGCATAAATTATCATTATTATTGCAAAATATTGTGGCCAATGTGAAAGTCAAATGCCAGTTTAAAAATTATATTTACACTTACAGCGGACGTTCGAGAAGTCAGGTGTGACGGTACAACCTACACCTTCAGCAACCGCTATCGAGCTGCTGACGGTCTGGTACCGTTGCTATACAGCATCACTTACTCGGGGTGTAACAACATCAGTATATCCACATGCAATGCCACCAACTTCGACACGGTGGTGATTCTTTTTGGTTGTGATGCGACGCTTTATATTAAACCCGATGGACTTCAGAGATGCGGCATCCCCGGGTTTCACTTTTTGCTCATGAATGACGACAGTCCCGTTTGCTCCGGCTTAACCTCTCTGCTCCAGATCCCGCAAGGAGACCTACCCATTGGGGCGTATGTAATAGGTGTGTACTCGGAGCTCACTACCTTTGGCTTGTTTAATATATCTATCTCTTGTTAAAGATATGAGCAATACCAAAAACTGAACTGGAGGGATGATCTACTCGAGTCAAGCTGAGTTTCTAAAGACTACAATTTTCTTCTATAATTTAAATTTATTGACGAAGCCCAATTATGGAATACAGAAAATTGAAATGAAGATTATCCATGTATCTCTACATATACAAAAAAAAAAAAAAAAAAAAAAAAAAACATGCAACATCCACCACGATCACAGTATGTACAAGAATGACGACTTTTTCAGCTGTGACTGGACCTCTCTGCTCCAGATCCTTAAGGGATGCCTATCCAATGGGACGTATGCAATAGGTGTGCACGGGTATAATGGCAACGAAGGGGCCTTCAAGGTCTCTATTTCTTGTTAAAGTTAAAGATTTGGGCAATAC